GCAATAGAACTAAGAGGCTAAAAGTCTCCACTTCTAAAGGTGATTTACAACCATCACCTACATTACATTGTGGACATCCGTTGTGGATGGCTTTGTTGCAACTGTTTACCAGGCCTAGAATGAATCTGGCTCGTATAACACAGTCCGTGTCCACGGATCTTGACCAGTGAGAGTGGCAGTCTTCGATGGATCCCCGCCAGTGACGGTGGTCGATTTAAGTGCATCACTGTGAAGAGGTGAGCGGTTTCCACGTAAGGCAGTGTCGTTTTATTTGAAAGTTGCTGACTGATAAGCACAATCCGTGGTCTGTGCAGAGTTGACGTAGGCAACCGTTTGTCCCTCCGGTTGGCTGGGACTGCTCATGAGTGGCCTGTAAATCTCTCTGACTCGTCCAGGGATACCCCACTTGACCGTTGAAGTTTCCAGTGACTGACACGATTTCCTTTCAGCGAACAAATCCGAGTATTTGGAAAAGATCTTCATAGAATTCATCGATTTCAGACGCATTGCAATCATTTGGTACTCACGGACAAGAGGAACAAGCACCGACTTTTCGTTATGTAGCCGGTGACCCTTACCGAACCAACGTGACGTGCAGTTCACAGTCACAAATCGAGCGTTTAACCTTAAAACTGAACGCGAATTCCGAGAGCAGGAACACTGTGTGGGCACCGGATGCCGATTCACCTGATATATGAAGAATGAGGCTTGAGGATTTGGTTGAATCTGAAGAACGCATGGTGATAACTGACTTGGGGTCTTGTATGCGTGGTTCAGAGACACAGCATACATATAAGTCAAACGCCTCAAGGGCTCTAGTTAGGGCAGAGTGCTGGACATTGGTCGTAACTAAATGAAAAGGAAATTTTGGCTTTATCAATCCTATGGGTTCTGATTGATCGACCTAGATTGTCAGACATTCTATGGACGGTGTAAAAAAAAACAGCTCATGTGGTGTGAAAGAACTATACAGATGGTTCCCCAGATGAGCGCCTGAGATTTCAGGGCACAATGTACTTCGCGGTAGCCCATACCGACGCGGTTTTTATTTAGGAACCCTTCACCGGAGCCTTCGACTCAAAGGTCTGACCCACTGGACAGCGAGACGTAGACCCCACGCTTCCTACCGTTCAGAATCGACCATTAGCTTTATACGCCCAATAAGAAAGATGGAATGTGGATGATACTGCATGTTACTGGCAAGGAGCTATCCAGCTTGGATGGATGGCAGCCACCCCATAAATTGCGCATACTTCCCCCAACCGCTGAGGGCAATTCTTATGTATCACACTCCAACGACCACTTAGCGGGGGCGTTGACCGATAAACTGACCTCTCCAGGGGCCAGAGCGGATAGCCGAGGGAAGACCAGAGGTGCTTAATAAGCTAGCCTTATGGGATTTCAATCAACCTCATCGATGTTGGTCGAACATCTAACGAAAGTCGTAAAACCGAACTTTGTATACTGCGCTGTAGGATCCAACGAGAAAGTGTGCGTTTTTGGTAAACGGGGATCGAGACAAGCAAACTGTGGAAACGTTTTAAACACAATTGCAGCTGTTGTTCCTGTGGGAGTTCCGGAATGAGACTGTGAAGCACCTCGAATGGTCAAAATTATTTGATCTTTTTTCAAATAATTTGGTTTGCTACTCTAAAATAAAATTGGCTTAAGGTTTTCCATTTCAGTTTGGTGATTCTTACTGACTCCATGCGATACAGAATGGGATGAAGAATGAATAAACTTAGTACTGCTAACGGGGGTGGGGTGAGTCAAAGCCCATGAAACGAGCATAGTTCAAGATTCACTGACAATTTTTCTATTAGCTTGCCATGATATATTTATTCGGTTTCACAGCGTTTCAAAGCTCCATCAAATAGTTCGTTTGTGCATGAAATTGATAAACGAGTTTTACAACAGACTACCGCTATATACGCTGATGGAAATGTCCGAGAATCAAAAGGTGGCAGTCCTTACAATGGAACCACTATTCCGTTGCCCTAGGATATCGAAATAATAAACTGACGAAGACTTTAGTAGTATCTTCTCTTGTCCTTCAAATGTCAATCTGGTTTCATTTTAACCAGACGAAAAATTACAACTTCCATGTTACAGAAAAAGTAGCAAATAAATGTATTCGTCCTAGTCAAGTAAGATTAGCCTTAATCGACGGTCGAGTGGATTGGTAAAAAAACTGTTTTGCGTTGATCAAAACAGATGTAGTCCAACTGAAAATGCAATCTAGCCGTTAATCAAATAACCCACACTTAATGCACACAGAGAGAGAGTTTTCGTAACCCATACGGCCGAAACATTGTGCCAATACGTTCTCGGCAGTGAAGTGGCTTCACAATCAAAACAAATAGTGGTGATTATCACAGGGTGGGCCAAGCTAGACAGAAGCAAATGCGAATAGCTTCCTACCAGAATTCTCCTGCCTGGTTCGTATTACGGGCCTATATCACTCAGACTCAACCACATCTCATCTCTCCTGGAACGGTAGACTAAATGATTCAAAGTGAAAGTTGCAAGCATGTATGTGCATACAAAAAGCTGTTCGGGTAACTCAGTCTACAAATGCAATTCTGGATAACTGACATTTTTCAAAAATGCACTTTGCCATGCATGCTCGCTCAAGATCAGACAGCTCCTGGTTGAAAAGTTAGTCCTTTAGTAGTGGTTCTCTGTGAAACATTGGAGATCATCAGAAAGTTCAAAGTCCAATGTACGCAACTGCCGCGTCAATTTCTGTGAGCGGAAGTTTGGTATCGCTGCGAATCCATGTCGATTATCAACACTGGCATTCTGCAAGCCTGGATTTGAAGGTTCGTGATCTGCGCGTCACTACATCGCTAGACACCAATCCGGTTATAAATAAACAGGCAGATACAGATCGATTCGGACAAAATCTTTCGAATCAATCATTTTGCATTGACTAAAAGTAATTATTCTGTCAAACTTAAATAGTAACAATGTGTGACATCAGCTTACTGTCCAAAGTTATGACCCAGTATTTTTACTCAATTCCAAATATGTACTGTACCGACCGATGCGAACTGAAACAAAATCACCTGTCCTAAAACAAGCACGATGAAATAGATAGAATTCGGTTTACTTCCACAGTGAGTTGCGTGACCAGAATTCGATATTCCGGACCCCCCCCCGCACGCACGCACGCACGCACGCACACACACACACACACACACATCAACCGCAGCTGTTCATTCACGTCACTGACTTCGCAACGCCTGCCAAACACGGGGTAGGAGGACTCGTTCAACTGCACAGCTGAAACTAGGTGATTAGTGTTTTCGATAAACAACTGAAAAACTACACCGCAGGCGAGGTTGGCGTGATTTAGATTAGGAGTAAGTTGCCGACAGATTGGTAGACGACGAGTGCGTAATGGTGGAGGAGTTTTTATTATTATTAAAAATTGTTATCATATCGTGCGAAATATTATCGCGAGATTTCACGAGAAACACGACGGATGGTATGGTTAGGAACGAGTGATAAGTGCAATCCATTTTCTTCTTATTCGAATACCCTAATATCAAAATCTGCGACCGGATATTTTCTGACATAGTTGTCCGGTCTGGATAGTGAATATCAACGTCACCGTATGCTACCCAATTTTTTTGCGTCCAAAACCTTGGCTCCGGGAAACCATTGCTCACTGGGGCTGGCTCAGGATGGAAGATAAGCAGGATATTAGCCACAGAGTTTCGTGGGAATAGGGTGCCAAACGATATCCCCAGAACCGTTCGGGATTGTTTTACTACTCAGTTACCCAGTCCGGGCGAGGAAATGGGTTAACAGCACCTCGTGAGAACACAAATGATCGTAAGCAATTGTGCTTGTTCCCCCGGCGTTTAGTTGCAATCGAAGTTAAGTATGGTAACCACGAGGACAATGGGGTCGTGCTAAAGATATTGGAACGAAAAGTGTGTATGTGTGCCTCAACAGTCTGCATTATTTTTTTGATGTGCATACGTATGTATGACCGGGTTGATTAACCACCAACAACTGGCACAACCTAATTCCAAACCACATATGATGAGGCATATAAAGTGCTTTCAGGATTACAGGCTCTGTTGAGAAACAAGTTGAACTGCGCGTCTTGAATGTGGGAGCCCCATCCGAAATCGTGGTGGCGGTGGTCGTGGGGTGAAACAACCAATGGAGCAACGAGTTTCGATCAACTCGCAGTACCGCATCACTCACTACCTTGCTGGTTATTTCGTTGAAGACCGAAATCGGCCTCCTAATCTGGCATGATGAATCGAGCGACACGGTAGCCCATAACGATGACAGATAGGAAACCAACTGCTGACACGTTGCACATTTCGGATCGGTTATTGACTTTATATGACTATATACCCAGTGCATCGCAGATAATACAGCAATTCAGATCGTTTTAACTAGGCTAACATACCAGACGAAATTATCACACCAATAGGATTGAGCGTTTGCCGTAGCAATGAGAAATCGTAGGAGGCACAAAGACACATGCGTTCCAGAGATCACGATTGAATTGGGCCATTGAAGATTTGATTCACACCGCTGAATCCAAGACGATCTCGTACCCCTTACCCGGGAAGAAAGAACACCGTTTTCGTTACGATAGAACTAATCAGATAATTGGAGCTAGGACGCACATGATGAGGCTACGCGGTAGAAACATCGAATGAAAAATGAGGGTCACAAAGGAACCCGATAAAGTGCTAAATCAACAAACACACATACACAGAGACATAGGCGTAAATCAGAGGACAGAACGGGAGGAGGCGATAATCAACGAAAATAGTTGACCGATAATAACCACTCGGTTTGGCGTATGAAAGTGAAAAATAAGCTCCTATGTGAGCCGGTCGCATATCATGCGGAATCTGTACAAGTAACTGAGAATGAAGACCGAACGATTGTCATAGACAAATAGCAATTCAGGGCATCTGAGGGGCACATATAAATCGGCCCAAATCGGACGGATCAGTCGCAAGCAATCAATTCAGCGCGAGTTTCTCCAATCCGGGTGCGAGAATGGGACCGCTGTGATCACCGGCTCCACGTTTCAGGGCCTGATCGACCAGGTACACTGAGTCTAGTGCGGTCCCCCAGCCCAAAGCAACACCCATCGCTCCGTGTCCGTAGTTATGCACGATTGGAACACTGTCGCTCACTCTGGGGCCCTCAGTACCGTTCGGACTTAACCAGGACAGCTGGATAAAGGAAATACAAACCGAGTCAGTGAGTGTGAACATGCAGGAGAAAAAGTGACAATTTTTTAAGGATTTCTTTCCATTCTACACAGGACGGATATTTGCTGAGAAAGTCTGATCAAATTAACAACCAGAAAAAGCAAAGTGTGTAGCTCAATTCATTCGTGAAATGAGAGCTACAGTACAAGCTAAAATTAATAAAACCTGTGTCAACCCAGGAAAAGAGTCTCTGCAGAAAATATGCCAAAATAATGAATGATAAAACTTTGTGAACATTAGTAACAATAAGGAGGCAACAGAGCGTGTGGTAAAAAGATAAGCCAAAAGCCTCAGTATCGTCGGGGTGGGTGTCTGGGATTGACTGGTCACCATTCCCTTACACCTCGCGAAATGCTCCCTACGCGATCAAGCGTCTCACAAAGCCTATACTGAAGAAGCCGTTCTTTTGCTGGCGGGGGTATTTTCCCACAAAAGTGGGAGAACGAAAAGCCGACATTAGGGGCTTTAACCGGGTTGGTGAACCACTGGCAGTTCATCTAAGGAAGTTAGCTAAAAGCCCTGATTCCAAACCAACCAAGGGGAAGCGTACGAACCACACGCACACCCTCCTGGTTGCGACAGTGGTCAACGGCTCAATTAGGCATCAAGGTTTAGTGGGCACCTTGGACGTTTGACCCCGTCCAAAAGATGTATGATCCAATAAACTGGACACCGGCCCTCAATGCACTGCCGACTCTGAGCTCTGTTCTGTTGTTTTGCAGGTCTGGCTTTCTAGCCAAAGGGTTCGGGTGGGGACCTCGAGGTTATCCCCTTCCTCGGTCAGAGCAACCGGGAAGTAACATGCACACACAACCTATGAACACATTCTTCAGATTTTTTTGTTCATATGTTGTGGCACATTTGCCAGTTCTCTGTAATGGGTTACGTGTTAAACGATATATAATAAATAATAAGCAAAGTACAGCCGAAAGAAATATCAGCCGACCTGAATACGCTCAAGTTTCGCTAAGACCACTTGTTAATTTGGTTGTCCAAAATACGATGTCAAAATCTCATTTTAAGACCCCTTTTGAAGTGAAAACAACGTATTCACGGCGATCAAAATGACCAAACTGAGAGGTTTACGATTGCCAATTTGAATTAATAAATCTTGATTCATCACCATTACCCGTATGTGATAAACATAAGGAGAAAAGTGCGCAAGAATAATTGATCCAATAACTCACTTCAAGACGAACGATTGGCCGGTGCGGTCGCAACCCGGTCCATTCCTCGATAATTGGGCTTTGGCTAAGAGGACCACGCCACATTTCTTTGATTCGATGTAGAATATTTTTAGATGCCTCCCCGGATGGGGCTGTGTCTTCGGGACGAAGAGGAGCATCCAGTGTACAGGGCAACGGTTCACGAAACCCACCAAGAATGACGCTATCACGTGACGGATAAGCATATGTGTCATGTGGCTAAAGGAATTCGACAAAAAACAAACAGAAATCTCATTTACACACAGCCACTTGGCGCTAAACAAGTGATCAACCAGATCAGGATGTCCTGGTGAAACAAAATTTCTATAGAAGCCTGAGTATGTGTGAGTGAGAGGAACCATAGCCCACTCAATGTAATCTATTGCTTTCTGTCTAGCCTTAATATCTTCACAGTGGCATTGAATACATTTTTCAGTAGCACTATTCCCGGTTAAATAAATAAAGTTTGAATCCTCATTGAGCTTTTTCAAAATCAAAACCATTCACGATAGACTTTATGTGAAACAGTGGAAAGAAATGGAATCTGATATACATTGCGAGCAGCGTTTTCCGAATGACCTAACCAACTGTAAAAATCTAATTGGCCCGTGTGGAACTCTACACGTACATTTGAGCTGACTCTTACAGATTTGTATACATGATACAATGAGACGCCTTACATCTAGTTAAGTTACCCACCCTCTCTCTCTCTGGCTGCTAAAACGTGTGCTTTTGCATCATTCGGAGCAGATCTATTGCCGCGCTGACCATCAGAATACCGTAGACCACACACCGGGTATTATAAAAGCTTGGAATTCATCGATAATTCGTGACCAAAAGGTACTCCAAAGTCCGCAGAGAACATCAACTAAAATGATAAAAAGATTACGATCGAAAATCTGAGTTAAAAGACTGCATATTCACGTACTCTGTTCATCTGAATACCGTCGAACACGGCGAAACAGGATCCTCGTATATAAAATACTACATCCATCTAGCCTACCGCGTAGTACTCTACTAATGCTATCCGACAATGGTTACTTCAAGGGACTTTTTGCTCCAAAAGAGCCGGCTAGACTGTAAACGTCACGCTTTCGGCCTCAATGTGTAATACCTGGAACTCTCTTCCACCTCAAGTTTTTTGTGCTCCAACCATTGATCCGTTTAAGTCACGGCTCGACAAGGCATTGAAACATCTAACTGTTCAGCATCCATGAGTGAACATTATAATTTACTAGCCAATTATACTACCAACCGAACCCAGTGTGTCCAGATCCTGTTGAATTCAATACACATCAGGTGTGTAATTCAACCATAATAAAAATTTGAATTTGTTCGCTATGGCCGTCTGATGACCCCTATGGGGATCGTAGCAATGAACCAATCGCATGCGAATGATATCATACTGTTGAGTGAAGATCCACCTAAGGTGTAACTTTTGTTAAACTGCAGCAGTAATAGATTAGACATGCTTAAAGCGTTCTTTTTAGCTCCAGAATCCTACTGCACAACTGAATTAATTCAAACACTGGTGTATTCGAAAATATCTTCAAAACAAGCACATAACTGCTTCCGCTGGAGCAATCGCATGTCACTCTGTGAACCGGATGTATCAATTCGCACGAGCTAGACAGATAGGAAAGATGGTTTTCCAAATGGATGCAACCTTAGACCACTGAACTTCTCCATTTTCTGTTCAATTCCACCTTTAACTTTCCTGTCTCTCTCCTATGGTTCATCCAAATGGGTAGCCAAAAGGCAGCGACCAAAGCCGCCGCATGAAGGTGCATGGTTAATGGTTATACAAACTGAAACTGATTCGTATTAACTAATCTTTCTTGGTAATTGTAAATCTACAAAGCCCAGAAATGTGATCGATTTATTTGAAGAATACATAAAAGCTATTGGCTTTCGGGCAACTATGCTGCGTCGATCATGCTTTAAAGTGAGGAAACAACCTGAAGCTGGACGCGCTCTATGTTCGGCAGTTGGAAAAAATCTGAAAGCCATTCAGTTCATTATTTGTCGACCTCGTTTCTGAGAGTGAGCGATGTTTTATTCTCCGTCCATGGAATACCCTTAAAGAATGTGTTCCTCGTAGAATCGGTGACGGAAGTCTTACTCGATACATTCAGGATTGTTTTCACAAAAGTAGGAGGTCCGAACGCTAGTAGATGGAGCAAAAGCCGAGTTGATGAATCAAGAGGAGCTTGACTATCTAGAGGAGTTGAAATCCCTCTACATGCATATGAGCCGTCGTTAAAATATCCTGGTTGAGATGATCGTCCGATCAATGGGAATAAACGGGTTATTCGGTACTCCACAGATATGGGCACAGGATTTAATATACGGCGCCGAAACCATTGGTGTGTGTGTGTGTGTGAACATCACTGTCTTCAGTTCATCTTAGCTTTTACGACCACTAACCACGCACTTTTGCGCGCCAGTTTTAGGAGAATTATGAGTGGATGCACGAGTCTCACTGTTTGCGACACTCAACCGTATCACGAACCATCAGTGACCATCATCTAGAGGTTCCCAGCAAGAGAGCCTAATGGAACATACGTGACCCAGACTCCCAGTTAGGGATTTCATACCCCATGCCAGGTCTTTGTTTGACCACCCTTGATCTTTTTCCAACCGCTACCATCCTTGGCAAACATCGCTCGCAGCGGTAACCTATCTGGTGACATGCGTAACACATGCCCCAACCAGCGTAATCTATAAGATCGACTACTGGCTCTAGTGGACGACCGCGATTAACTAAAATTCTACGACTAACCTCAGCATTACTCGTCCACTTTCCCCACCAATTACTTTCGCCAGACCTAAACGCACGCACTGATCAACTGTCACCTGATGAAACCCACCTTGGTGGTCATCGTGGCCTTGATAGCTGTCGTTCAGATAATAGGGATAGACTCGAGCAGTGCACGAACTGAAACACCTTTGGCGTCAACGCGACGTTTCACTGAAATTGAAAGGTCGTGAATATTGTGCTAGCGTTCGTTCAGTCCTGCTTCATGGTTGTGAGACCTTGAATTTGCGAGTAGAAGGTATCCGTTGACTAGAAATTGTCGATTATTAGTGTTTTCGCCGTTTAGCCTACGATGGATGGAGTGAACGGGTTAGTAACGTGGAGGCAAACCGTCATGTGTTTAGAAGTCTATCAGGTATGAACCTGCTAACACACCGAATTCAAATTAGTAGACTTCACTGGCTAGGGCACATACTGTGTATGACCAGCCTTCGTCTGTCGCACCGCGCTTTATTCGCTGTTGCTAATCCGGGCTGGAGGAAACCACGTGGAGGTCAACAGATAAAGTGGAGAGGAGGCATGAAGAAATGCACAGAGCCATTAGGTAGAGTAGGTGTCTCTCGCCTTCCAGGTTGGNCGTTCAGTCCTGTTTTATGGTTGAGACCTTGAATTTGCGAG